GCTATACTGGACCGAAAAATCCCTAAATTGGGTTGAGAATGATATTATTTTGCTTTTTAGAATGTTTTAGCACGTTTTTTTTAGTTCAGAAAGCCTTTTAGTTCGCAATTTTTTTTAATAAGCCGAAAAAATACTAAATTAGCCCAAAAACAATGTAATTATAATTTTTTTTGAGACTAAGCACATTTTTAAGCTTGAAACTTTCGAAATTTTTGCTCGACTTTGAGTTGAAAGTTACATTGTTTGTGTCTTTTTGAAGCGTTTTAGTTCTGTTTTTTTTTTAGCCAGAATTGCAATTTCTACAAAAATATGCCGAAAAACACTAAATAAGGTTTAATTGATGCTCTTTTCGGGAGCTTCAGCCAGTTTCAAGCTTGAAACTTATTTTTTTTTGCGAGATTTTTCTTTATGGGACCAAAAAATCTCTAAATTGAATTGAAAATGACATTATTTTGCAAAATTTTCAAAGTTTTTCGAAAATAAGCTGAAGAAAGCATTAAATTACATAAAAAATGGTGTAATTTTTGTTATTTTTGAGAGGTTAGAACGTTTTTAGCACATTTTCATTCAAAAACTTAATTATTTAACAAAATTTTTCCAAAAATAAGCCGAAAAACGGCTAGTTTGGCTAAAAATTGTGTTATTTTTGCATTTTGTGGGCCTTTAAGTGCGTTTTTTGGACATGCAAAATTTCGTTAAAAATTACCTAAAAAATCGCCGAATTAGGTCAAAAATTGTCTTATTTTTGCTTTTTTCAAACACTTAAACGTGTTTTTAAGCTATAAACGCAACTTTTTCTCCAGATTTTGTTAACACTTAACGAGAAATCACAAAATTAGGTCAAAAATTTCATTATTATTTTATTTTTAGCGCTTTAGCAGTTGTGGACCCAGAATCTTAATTGTTTTGTGAAATTTTGTCAATAATAAACCAAAGAAGCATCAAATTAGTCAAATTTTTGCATTTTTTGAGCACTGAAGCATGTTTTTGAACTAAAGGCCCAATTCCACGGAAGATTTTGTTAAATTAGACCAAAAAACTTCTAAAATTGCTCGAAAATAACATAATTTTTGTATTTTTCGAGCGTTTGAGTCCGTTTTTCACTCAGAAAAGCGATTATTTTGCGAAATTTCTCAAAAACTACTCGAAAAATTACTAAAGTACGTCAAAAATGGTAAAATTTTTATCTTTTTTTGAGAGTTTAATCACGTTTTGAAGCTTTAAATTGAGTTTTTTGAAAAAAAAAATTGCAAATTGGGTCGAAAATAACATTATTTTTGTCTTTTTCTAGCTTCTGAGAG